TGCACTGTGGGTTGGGGTCGAGGGCCATGCTGCACTGCCAGCTATGGCCCGCCCAGCACAGATCCAGACCCCCACCCTCTGTGCCCTCCCAGATGAGTGGCAGGAGCAGCAGCGGGACCTGCCAGGCAACCAAATGATCCGATCCTGGACCAGCAGCACACAGTAATGGGAGCTGCTGCCCCCCACTCCCTGCACCCCCCGGACGAGCCGTAGCTCCATTCTGTGCCGCAGCGCCTACCCCAGCCCTACTTCTCCCTCACTGCTGGGGGCGTTGATCTGTCCCCATGCCCTTTCCCTCCCTACTCGTCTTCCACCACACCAGACTTACCAGCTGCATGCAGCTCTCCAAGGCCCAATATCCTGGGCTGTGTTCCTCACCGCCTGCATGCTGTGCAGAGGCATGGGCATTTTATTGGCCACATTCGGCCGATTTCTGATATAGTCAGTTTTCTTTATATTGGTGCCAATCCGCTATTGGACCGATCTATTGGTGCACCTCTACTATATAACCATGGAGGAAATGATTCAGAATTAGTGGATCTAGACAAGTAGCTTCACCCATTACATTAAAATTACTTTCTTTTTGCTTTTTACTTTTCTTCCATTATGTTTTCACATTATCAGACATTGTAGCTGCCACATGTAAAGTAGAGCAATAAGTCTGGGAAAAAAGATGGAGATTATCTTATTGCTGAGAACAAAGTAAAACCAAGAGCAGGACGATAACATAAATTGTCTCCTTGTTTAATTTTCATGATCCTATGTGCTTTAAGAATAACAAAGGCAGGACTTATAGGTTTTTTGGGGGTTTTTTTTTTAATGTGGAGCTCCTGAGCATGAGCCCCAGCACTGCCTGCAAGCTGCCTCTCTATATGTGCCTATTGGTATGTACTCGGCACCACTCTGACAGCTAAACTGCCTCCTTTCCAGGACATGATATACCAGTGTGGGAGAAAATGGGTGGGGATCACTTCTTTGTGGCACTTCCAGGCTTAGCAGGGAGTGATGCGTTCATATTCCAACCATGAAGTTAAGTTTGTAGAAGTCTAGTTCAGCTTTGTGGATACCCAAGTAAGCTTTTATTTGTAGTCTGGTAGTACAGAGTTCATGACATGCTGTTAGAGGTGTTTAACACTCGCCAATATATTTCATTGTTACTTTTAGGTGTGTTATGAAGATGGATCACCATTGTCCTTGGATCAATAACTGTTGTGGATATCAGAACCATGCATACTTCACTCTGTTTCTCCTTTTAGCCCCACTTGGATGCATCCATGCATCTTTCATTTTTGTTATGACTATGTACACTCAACTTTATAACAGGGTAAGATCATCTGATTCAGTGTTCAAAACATTGTCTAAACAAGCAGGCTAATTTATATCTGGACAGGAAGATGTGATGCCTCTGCACCTTTCTGGCTGCTGCCACAGTAGCTAGAGTTTTCTTGCACTGTTTAGGGACTAGCAACAGATTCTGAGTAGTGCTACGCAGGGACACGTAGTCTTTTGATTTGTTATTTTAGGATGATATGTCAGACAGATGCCACTGACTTCCTTCTGCCTGTTACCAGAAGTCAAGAATTTATTCCTGTGCTCAAAACAGTCTACACTGATTATCCCAAGAATAGTCTAGGACTAAAAGTAACTTAAATAAAACAATTTTATTTAAAAATCAAAATCAAACTT